CTCGTCAGGTATACCTCAAAACTTGAAAACAAGACTGTACAACCAGTGCGTGTTGCCAGTGATGACCTATAGAACTGAGACTGCTGGCCGGATGAGGAAGCTCAAGGTCGCTCAGCGAGCTATGGAGAGGGCTATGCTAGGAGTTTCTCTGCGTGATAAACTTAGAAATGAGGATATCCGCAGTAGAACCAGAGTGACCGACATAGCCCAACGAATTAGTAAGCTGAAGTGGCAATGGGCCGGCCATATAGCTCGAAGAACCGCCAACCGATGGGAAAAAAAGGTTCTCGAGTGGCGGCCTCGTACCGGCGGACGAAGTGTAGGGCGTCCCCCCCCCCCCACTAGATGGAGTGACGACCTGGTAAGATATGCAGGATGTCGATGGATGCAGGTGGCTCAAGACCGTATTTTGTGGTATTCTTTGGGGGAGGCCTATGTTCAGCAGTGGACTTATGAAGGGCTGTAATGATGATGAATAACGAATAATCAATAATATATAACAATTTTTATTCAAAGCAAAAACGCTTGTTTTGTTCTTTTTATGAAATCTGTAGTACTCTTCATTGGGGCCCCCCAACAAATTTTGATACAGGGCCCATCTAAGGCACGCTACGCCACTGCTCGAAATGCTAAGGGCTGGAGAAGGAGTGGTGGCAGGCCTGCTGTATACCTTGTTCAATTTATGTTGGGAACTTAATATAAAGGAAAAGGATCGCAGCAGGACTGTAAAAACTACCGTGGTATCAGCCTTCTTAGCATTGTGAGAAAACTGTATGCTAAGGTACTAATTGAAAAAATTATGAAAGATACTGATAGAAAAATTTGCGATGTGCAAGCGGGATTTAGAAACGGAATGGTGTGTACGGATCAGGTCTTTTCCATGCGCATGGTCGCGGAGAAGTTTTTGGCCAAAAACCAAAAAGTTTTTTGTGCGTTCGTGGACTTGGAAAAGGCTTACAAAGGCTTGTTATGGCAAACACTGAACTAATTTGTGTTGAGCGCTGGGTTGAAACAGGCATTGAAGTCTCTGTATAGGGACTCTAGTGCTTGTGTCAGGATCAACGGGGCCTACTCGGACTGGTTTGGCGTCCATAAAGGTGTCAGACAGGGCTGTGTAGCTTCCCCGTGGCAAATTTGCAAGGGTTCGTAGGCTTTAGTATTATATATTATATTTAGTAGGTATTATAATTAATTATAATACCTACTAAAATATTTAATATCTAAATTAATAATTAATATCTAAATTAATATTTAGATATTAATTTCAACTTGATACCTCTACCCGTCCTGAGAAATGGTGTCTTGATAGACGTACACCAAAGTGATCCTATAAGGGTTCCGTTTATTCCTTTTGAGATACAGATTCCTAAAAAGACCAGTTGTGAGACCGTTTCATCCCTAATTAAAAACAGGACTCTAAAAAGAAAAAATGTAACCTCACCCTCATCCATTCGCAAAAGCGCTTATTTATGTAACATTTTGGTTCAGTTCATGGTGGAAGTCCAAATTAAGCTGCTATTTTACGCTGGTATTCTGTGAGAGCGTGGTCCTTCCCCGGTCGAGCCGACCCAATCGTAAAAGTTTATAAAACAGTTTATATGGAGCTATAATGCTAATTGTTTAATATACTATGCTATTAATAAGGACTGCCTTGTAACATACTAACAAAAACACAACAACTAACAGGTATATTCAAGTATACTATTGGCAGCTTCGTACCGGTAGATGTGTGGGGCGTCCGCCCACTAGATGGAGTGACGACCTGGTAAGACATGCAGGAACCAGGAAGTCGTTGGATGCAGGTAGCTGAGGACCGTGCTTTATGGCATTCCTTGGAGGAGGCCTATGTTCAGCGGTGGACTTATGAAGGGCCGTAATGATAATGATGAAAACCACATGAAGTTTCACTTTGGTGAGCGGCGCCGCACCATATGATCTAATTTCACCAATGATGATGTCGATGTCGTCAGAAAAATCTTACGAAAACAGACTAATGGCTTTTCATCATAGTATAAGGTGATGTGCTTCTAATCTAATCAATTTTACAATCACGGAAAATTTAACGTGTAGATAGTCAAAAATATAAGTACTTTGTAGCATCATCTATTAGTGAGTCCCGTGGGCGTCGTAGGAAGCAACCATGGAAAGACTTACTCATAACTTCCGATAGCTGGTGATTTACCACTTACCATCATTAGTCAGATCAGGCACAAGGAAGCAGCGAGATATTTGCTACTTTTAATATATTATGTATAGTTTCTGCTACTGTTACTGCGACCCAAAATCCGTGCTTGATATCCATTATGGCAAATTCTCTCTATAGCGGGAAGGCTTGCGTTATGATAATTTTTTTTATAGAAAAATAAGGGAGACACAAATGAGCACACAGTCCATCTGATGGTAAGTGGATGATGTGGCCCATAGACGGTATATATAGATCTATCCTCGATTGAGAATCCAAATGGAGATGCGTTGCTACCCCTGAAGACCAAGATGAAATGTCTCGTTACCAGTAAAAAGGGTATCCAGTTCTCTACACTCACCATACGAAGCAAAATTAAGCTGCTATTTTACACTGGTATTCTATGAGAGCTTAGTCATAATACCGGTTGAGCATACCCATTCATGCTACAAACATAACTGAAACTAATTTTTTTTGAAAAAAAAAAATTAACACGCTAATGAAGTATGGGATTCATGTCCACCAGTGGATCATTTCAGGACTGACAAAAATATAAGGGTTATATAGATACAGTTATAAAAACAAGTTAACATATTTAAGGCACTTTATTGGCGGACGGGAGTTATTGCCGACACGTATTACTATTTACAAAAAAGTTTAATGGCACTCCGAAATATTTAAATTTTTTCTTATAACACACAGTCTAATCTAGCACCTGGAAAACATCCGTATATTTTATAAATTTGTCTGATACCATTTTGTTTTGTCATGTTGTATTGAGCTGTCTTTAAAGAGAATAATTAATAAGAGTGAGTTCATTTCTCACGTTGCGTTGCCACGCCCTACATATAAAAATACGTAGCCAGACAGATACTGCAGACGTTTTGCATGTTAATGCGATGCGTGTCTGAAATGGTAATGCAACCAGCTTAGCGCTTTCAATGCTAATCCTATTTATTCTGTAATAATTGTGTACAACGCTTTTTAGCGCTTAGCACTAAATCTACGGCAGCTGAGTTGCAACGCCGCACCTCAACTTATGGCATCTCTAATTGATTGGTACGGCAGCGATGCTACGTCCGCCTTGTTGGAGTTTTATCGATGTCGACACCGCGTAATCACTTGATTTGTCGACATTATTTGGCGCGGCTTGTGACCCTTTTTCATTATTTGACAATGACAATATTTTGATATATGTCGTACCGTCGTGCCGAACAATCAAGTAACGGCCTTAGTAATACACATTTAATGATATTTAACATACATTTTACGTGACATTTGCAATTCCAAAAATTGTACAAAATATAAAACACTTCAATGTCAACTAAATTATAATGAATGTAGTTTGAATGCAATTCAATAAATGAAATGTTATTTACACAAAAACTCATAATTTTTTTAAAATGCAAGCAAAAATCTCTATTCATTTTCAATACATACAAAATAAGTAGTACACTTATTAAGACAAAATTTTATAACCAAGCATAACGCCGATACATCAATAACTTTCAAGTAGTTTTGTGGTCTAAAAACTTATAATATGGTCTTGCAATGCAATCTAAATTACAGGCACGAAAAATTAAAGCTATTTTTTTTTAAATTTAATTACACGTAAACAAATTTTACATACAGCCAGTCACTTAAGTATTTTAAAAGATTATCTAAACAGTTTAAATTATGATATTTATTAAATGTAATCGTTTATCAGAATTGGAAATGATAGAATGATATTTATATATGGTCAGGGAAAAAGTTTCTTCGTATATACAAATTTAAGACATGTTTTTACAAACTTTAATTACATTTACTCACTTTGGTTTACAGAAAAACAGTTTGAAAAATGGCGGGAAAGTGTTCTTTTTTACTTTTTTTTTCTTAATGTTCTATATATATTGATATTAAAATCAGCCAGATACAAACAGTACAAGCAAAGAGATCATATTTTATACAAACAAAATACGAAGAAACTTTTTCCCCGACCTATTATGAAGTAAGATGTCATGGAATCTAAAAATAAATTACGATAAGCTTATGACGTAATTTTTTCTTTTATCTGCACTGGAAGACGTGTATAGCTTATGAACCCTTTCATTAAATCTATTTTACATTTGACTATAACTTCCGGTAGGTTTATTACTTAATGATACAATAAAAGAATATTTAACAATCAGCACCATTATTTGAAAATATAATATAACATCTAGATAACATACACCTTAATACTTGTATACAAAATTAAGATTAAGTAATGTTGAAATACATGTCCTTTTCATTTAAGTATACGTAAGTAAATTCTAGAAATAGAAAATATTAAGTAGAATGTAAACCTATAAATGCCTTTGAGCAAACTAAGTCAGCTGTTTTATTCTAAGATTTTTAGGTGCACTATGGCAGTTATACAAAAGATATACAAACTTATCACTTTGAAACGACATTTTTAATTTCAAAAAACTTAACAACAAAATTTGGTTCAACTTGAATTTGACTGACCAAAATTTAGAGATCATTTACTCCTTCATATATAATATGAATTCATGAATCTAACTATGTGCACCCGTATAATGTCAAAGCACCTTTAAGTATTTCCTTAAAATTAAGTTTAAAACAAGTACACCATGTGATGTATTCGTCACATTCGTGGGTTTGAATTATGTTTTGAATATGGCACTGACTATGGATGCATAATTCTTGAATGCTTTCTTCATTGGCAGTGATACTCTTAATTAGGCTCCAACTTGTTATCAAAACATTCCAATACAACAATGTACATGGTGCTGACACTTACAGGTTTAAAAAAATCACAATTTCACAGCCATATTTAGGAACTAAGTTTTATAAAGCCGAAGTAGGTGTAACCTGGACGAAGCCATAGCGTTCTGTTATGTTCCCTCTGGGCAATGTTAACGGTGTCGCCCTTGTACAGTCTGGCGACAGTTTGCGCTGCGCAAGAGATTTGGGACTTGTCCAGCGGTCTGGAGCTGGAGTCGTCTCCCGTGGCGCAAGTGGTGAGCAGGCGAGGTGCCTGTGCTGGCTGCCTTGCCCATATAAAATAACAATTTGGCGCGTGGGTTAGGTACACGATCTGGAAAATAAATTTAATCTTTACAATAGCGATAGTAGATCGATCGAATCCGCAATTCTACTATCATGTATATCTCAAAATACTAGTATTTTAAGTTAGCTTGTAAGAACAAACTATCAGAAGTTAGGCGTTGAATTGACTTCTTGGAACAAAAAAAATGGTATGTTTGGTATGTGTGCCCTATCAAATTTTTACTTTTCTTTCTGATTTTATCGTAAAAGCTGTTTGTTCGGACATCATCATTACACAAGTTAGTGAGCCGCTGTATTTGCATAATAATAGATAGGAAAAGTAAAGTAAAGTTGCAGCCTATATACGTTCTACTGCTGGGCACAAGCCTCCGCTCATTCTGAGAGGGTGTTTTAGGTCAAGGAAATGTCCGCCGCGCTGCCTCAATGCGTGATGGCGAACTTCACACGTCTTGGAGATATATTTTTTTTATTTTTCAGACATGCCGATTTCCTCACGATGTTTTCCTTCACCGCCGAGCACGTGGTAAATCAGTACTTAAAATTGCAATTAACAATATCATTGGTACCGGCGGGGAGCGAACCCGGGTTGCTCGCGTACTGTGAAACTTACAGCGAGCGTTAACTATCTGAGCTACCACGGCTCTCATTGGTAGGAACCAATGAGAGCCGTGGTAGCTCAGAACTGGAATCATATTCGGAAGTACTCGTCGTAGAATTAATTCCCGAGATCATTGATGAGTGGCGGGTTTGGATATGTGGTTTATTATTCTAAAAGTCGACTCTTAGGATTTAATTGCTAAATTTCATCTAGTTACTTCTAGAAATGGATTCAATAAAACAACTCCTCTTTTGCGTTTTGTCGTGTCAAGTAAAAATAAGTTCTAACCCACAGTCTTAAATTTTATGACGTCCATCGTTAAACTTATTTTATCAAGAAACTCCCCTCCCCACGTTGGCCCCAGTTCTTTTGGTTTGGTAAGGCTAATAATCTTATGCGCGCTCCACACTCACGCGCGATTCACTTTGTGAATTCTTAGTGTCCCTCCACACTCGCAATTTCGTTTTGGATGAACCAAGCGCGAACCCTTTATCGCGGGACAAAAAACAGACACAGATCGGTGAACGGCGCGAAACGCGAACTTGAAACCGCATTCGCGCCGCGAGTGTAGAGAGCGCTTTACGCTCGCCAAATGTGGCTAGTTGAGACTGAGGTGATTTTATTTATCACGGAAATGGTCACACAGTGTTATCATCATTAAAAAGTTGTTAAATAAAAATTTTTCTGATTCTAGTGTACACACGTACGTGGGTGGCCAGAAAAGTTTCCGACCTAACAAAGATATAAGACATTTTATCTTAAAATTTATTTTATTTTTCTACATAATCGTCTCCTTGTAATTTTACACACTTCTACCATCGACGCTCCCATTTCTCTAGCCCGTTTAAATAGTACTCGGCGTTTTTATCTGCAAAATAGGTGATTGCCTCCTCATTTGACGAAAATCTCTGTCCTCCGAGCGCAATATTTAGATGAGGGGACAAAAAGAAGTCGCTTGGGGCTAGATCTGGTGAGTAAGGCGGATGGTCAAGCAGTTCAAACCCTAATTCGTGGATTTTCGCCTTGCGGCGATGACGGTTAGTTGGTGGTAGTAGACGGTGCGTTGTCATGGTGAAGCAGGATTTTCTTTTTCTGCAAATGTGGCAGTTTTCCCACAATTTCTGCCTTCAGTTTGGCAAGTAATGATGCGTAAGTTCCTTTTTGAAGATAAATGATTGAGATACTCCATAAATATCCCAAAATCCAGTTGCCATCACTTCCCCAGCCGATAAAACAGCTTTTTTATTTTTTGAAGTCGGTTCCCCCTTTACAGTGCGCTGTTTTTACTGTATCTTTGTTTCAGGCGCATAATGATTTATCCAAGTTTCATCTACAGTAATTAATCGGCGTCAAAACTCGGAAATATTGCGCCGAAACTGCGCCAACAGCGCGTTTGAAATGTTCATTCGAACAAGTTTTTGGTCTAATGTGAGCAAACGCGGCCATTTCAATTCATCAAATTCCATTTTCACAAAAACACTGACATCGACTCACTCAAACGACTGTCAAATAACAACCACGCGTTCAAAATGGCTTAAATTTTGGTGCGTAACTGTCAATGCACAACGACATCCACTAACTTTTATTGACGAGTGCTGCCATCTTCACAATGAGGTCGGAAACTTTTCAGACCACTCTAGTATATACACAAAACTCAGTGCTGTGTTCTTTAATAATTATTTACACATTTTTAACATTTTTTTATTCTTCTACCTTTAGGAATATCTGTAGTTTGGTTTATACAATAGTAATGTAATTAATATAAAAAATAATTCTATTATTTCAGAAAGAAACTTTAATCCCCACTTAAATGAAACTAATTTTTACGGATTTTGTCACGTTTAATTTAACTTTTTAATTCCCGACATTTCGGGTACTTTACAGCACCCGTGGTCACGGGGTGGTTTCATTTAAAGTGTACTCTTCGCGTAAATATAAGAAATCATTATTAATCTCCACTCTTTGCTAACAGAACCTCCCCCACCATTAAATTAGTCAAATATTACATCTCAATCCAAAGTGGCGGTGTGAGTACTTGTATATGTCAGCACGGCTAGCATGGGCTGGGGACAAAAATTTTATCCCCCGATTATATCCACTAACAAGAGATAAAATTATCTTGTCCTTATGCTAAAACACGGCCAACGGTAACGAGTAGACATAATATATCCTCCGTCGATAAAAAATTATGCTTGTTTGACATTTGAAAGGGACAATTTTCGAAATCATGAGCACAGATAAAAAGTCATGACTTTGTGAATTAGAGTAAACATCAATTTTGAAGTACTTAGGAATTTTCTTATAATGGCAATAATTGCGGGGATACGTCTATCGCCCATTTTATCTACTGTGGATATTATATCCACCGGTGTGCCCATGCTCGAAGGGTGGTGAACTAAGCGAGGGGATTAACATTTTGTCCTTTCTCCAGGGATAAAATGTCTCCTGACCATGTTAGCCCTGCAGTTGTAAAATATCATGTATCTACTATCTACATAAAAGGTTTTACCGCTATCTCGTATGCCATAAGACTTTTCTGGAGTAGAGAATTTTAGCGATACCCAAGAGATGAGATTAGATTAGAATACGGCGACAGCAAACAAATTCGATATCATTATTAGAATTTTCCACAAATGTTCTTTGCGATTCGTACCTAGAACCCTACCTTGTATTCAAATTTTAGTCTTTACTTAATAGCGAAAAAAGTACAGTTACTAATAATAAATCAACACTATTTTAGAGAACTGGTGTCAACCCTATCATACATGACCTACATATCATACAGTGTAATGACGAAATATGTAGTTTAGCGTTATACGCAGTGAGTCATATATCAAGCGGTTTCTTAACGGTACACTACTAAATTGGGAACTTCTTTTTTAGAAATTCATGAACAAAGCAAGTGCAAAACGCCGTTTGGGACATTTTAATAGATCGACATGAGTTTCTACTATGACTATTTGCTTAAAAATCAATTAGTATATTTTTCTCGATTGTTGTATCCTAAGTATATTTTGTATGTGTTAAGCTTTAGATCAAGCACTAGATCGGGTAGTTTCTACAGCTCGTACTTAATTAATATAAAATCATTTTTATATAGTCGTAGAAACGACCCGATCTAATGAATATAATTATTAAATTAATACATTTAAATCTTTAAGCACACATAAGTAAGAAATGTATGATACATTGTGTTTTTTAATCTTGCATTTCTTCTTTATCATCCCTATTCTCCTCTTTTCTGCCTACATCCAAAAAGGAGACGGTACTCAATTCGACTGTATGTTTTTTTTACTGGGTGAACCGATTTCGATGATTCTTTTTTTTATTTGAAAGCTGGTACTTCTTGTGTGGTCCCATTTGAATTTGATCAAGGTCAGACCAATAGTTTTTGAGTTATTCTTAATAACTTATATTGAAGTCGGCAGTACAAAATTTTTAATTATTCTCAAGTTGCTTTTACAAAGTTAAATATATTTTAACGTCAATGTACTTGTACTTGAATGTACTTGTTAGTTGTTTTTTGTTAGTATGTTACAAGGCAATCCTTATTAATAGCATAATATATTATACAATTAGCATTATAGCTCCAAATAAACTCTCTTGTGAACTTTTATGGGTGACAAACGTGTACCTATACAATCCATCTGATGGCAAGTGGATGCTGTGGCCCATAGACATCCAAATCCATCCTCGATTAAAAGTCAAAATGCAGATGCGTGATCACCCCTGAGGACTAAGATGGAATGCCTCGTTTCCAGTAAAAATGGTCTCCTGATCTCTACACTCTCTATACGACATACAGCAGCAATGAGCTGCTATTTCACGCTGGTATTCTGTGAGAGCGTAGTTCCGGTCGAGCGGACCCATTCGTGCTATAACCATAATATAACATCTTTTTGAGCATGACAATTTATTTAAGTTGTTGGAGTAGTTATCTATAATAGAATGTTAAAAATATATACCATTATCGTTCTTACAACCTGTGAAAAGTCCACTGCTGAACATAGACCTCCCCCCATAGATTGCCTCATATAGTTGCTACTCTTGGGAGGCGGGTAGCCAACCGCAATCTTTTTTTGGTGGTTATTAGGAAGACGCTGCTGCCCATCTCTTGGTTCGTTTTCCTCTATCGCCTCTTACGATACTTACACGAGGATATGGGGTAGTAGATATTTTTACATCGCCACTTCACGGTCCAAAAGAAAAATATAAAAAAATCTAACTGACCTGCGCATAAACTAAATAGAGTCCGCTCTCCTTGATAGTAACGTAATTACTAACGAGCTCTACTGCGCTTTCGCTGTCTTTAGATGAAACCTCCAAATCACGTAGCCACGGTCCGATTATAACTGCAAAAAAAAAAGATATTTAATTAAATATGTAATGCACGAAAGTACTTTGAACGTCATATCACGTAATGTGTGTGTATCATGACAATGAGGGCTAATAATTTCTGCTCACCAGATGTCGCTAGTTGACACTGAGGTAAAGTTTTTTGTTACGCAATGTAATTTAATTCAGAAGTTTGTTTTTAATAAAATTTTATAAGTTTATAGAGTATTATATTAATACACAAAACAATGCGTCAGTGGTTTGCTCTATAATTTTTTGTACATTTTTATTTTTTTTAATTTTTCTACTTTTATGAGTATCTCTGGTTTGGTTTATTTATTTTTAAATCTTATTAATATAAAATATAGCTAATAGTACAGAAAGAACAATAAACTTTACATTTTCCGAACAAATTAACTTCCCCGTTATGAAATCTGTCAAATATTATACCTCACTTTCAAGTGGCGGCACCCTGGTGGCAGAAAAGTCGTGGATGCCCTCATTTAGCTTTTCTTTTACAGTAGAATTTAATATAAACATATTAAGAAGTTTTCATTTGTGTACAGTCACAAGCCATAACATGTAACGGACACTTACGCTGTGACATTATTGGTATTGGACATTCGAGTTCATATTTTATTGCACCGTACACCCGCGTATCTGGGCGGTTCTCACCGCCAAGAACATCGACCGATACGAGCTAAGCAGTCAGAGCTAGATCTCCGCACAACACCTCTCGGACAGCAGTTAGATAGCTCAAAAACATGATTATTGGTAACAATACCAAATCATAAACCATCATCATCATCATCCTCATCAACATTCCCTGTCCCTTTTCAAATAGCTGTATCACATGAAGCTGTAAGAGCCGTATAGGCTAAGAGCACTCACATCACAGAAAATAGATATTGCATGTGACTGTAACGTACAAAGCTTGAGGTGGTAAGGTTACATAGGTGTTCCCCATAGATTGCCTCATAGGAGGGATATTTGCCCTAGTTGCCACTGTTGGCAAGCGGCTTAGCAACCGCAGTTTTTTGTTTTTAGTCGTTATTAGGAAGACGCTGCTGCCTATCTTCTGATTTATTTCCCTCTGTCGCCTCTTACGACACCCACGAGAAGATATAGGCTAGTGATATTCTTACACCGTCACTAACGTGGTACGTTGCAATCGTTACACTTTACATGGTACAGCTACGCTACAGCGTGTTATATCTGCAGCACGAATGGGTCGGCTCGACTGGAGAACTCGAAGACCATTTTCGTACTTAATTCCAAGGAGAAATAGCAGATTAATGCTGCAGAGCTAGCATGGGCAGGAGACAATTTTATCCCCGGGGAAAGGAGAAAATGTTTATCCCCTCGCTTCGTTTTATCCACCAGAGCATGGACACACCGGTGGATATAATATCCACAGTAGATATAATGGGAGATAGACTTAGATAGATTTTTTGTGTGAATATGATCTTAAACCCACGTCCAATGATCTAGGATAGAATTGTCCCATTCAAATGTCAAAGAAGCATAATTTTTTATCTTTCATTTGGCTCCGTGCTACGAACGGGGGATATATGTCTATTCGTTATGTCAAACGGGGATATACTTCTCCCCGTTGCCGTGCTTTGGCATAGCGACAAGATAATTTTATCTCATGTCGGTGTATATAATCGGGGTATAAAATTTTTGTCCCCAGCCTATGCTAGCCGTGCTAGTGTGTTTCGTATCGTGAGTGACGAGAATTGGATATCCTTTTTCATTCAATCTTAGTCCTTAAAGGTGACGACGCATAGTCTATATTTAGATACCTACATAGAATATTCTTATTCAATATAGATTCTTATTTAAAGTATTTTTTTTTTATTTACCACTGGTTCGAAAAGGATAGATGTAGTGTAGTATGGGCGACATCATCCACTTATCATCAGGTGATGTGTGTGCTCGTTTGTAACCGTAACTTATATTACAAAAAAATAAAACATCTGTCTTTCAATATAGATGCAAAATATCATTGTTAATTGATATACCTATTATATAAAAATAACGCACTGGTAAAAAACTAAGATGGCGACGGCGAGTTTTTGACAAAAAACATGCGTGAATGTCGTGAAATACTCGGCTGAACGAAGTTCCTTTCGTAGTATATTATTATTGATACACGTATCGTATTATTGATTAACAAGACGAATATCGAATTTTAAGACGTGGTAGAGCCATGCTGCAGCTATATTAGTAGTATAGTTGTAGCACGAATGGGTCGGCTCGACCGATGAAGGACCACGCTCTCACAGAATACCAGCGTAAAATAGCAGCTTAACACTGCTGTGTTTTGTATGGTGAGTGTAGAGAACCGCAGATCCTTATTACTGGAAAAGAGGCATTCCATCTTAGTCCTCACAGGATAAATGTAGATGTCTATGGGCCACAGCAACCATTCACCATCAGGTGGACTGTGTGCTTGTTTGTCACCCTATCCTATAAAAAAAAAACAAATACAAATAAATGAATTACTAGCGTCTATTAAAATGAAGCATCATTTAAATTAATATTTCTTTCATGGCAAGAAAAAGTACGAGGGAAATGGACGGAAAATCTTACACTTTTCTCCCCTAGCCCCCATCCGTCAAATTCGTAACGTGCGATAAGGAACTTCGTTCCAACCGGAGACAATGCAACACATTTTGAGCACAGCTCATTGAGATATTTTATGTATTATATTTATAAGTACATTAAACTTCAATAGCACAGGCAGTATTGTATAAAAATGTAAATATATTTTATTACAAAGTATTTATCAGATACTTATTATTCACGTTTAATGCAGTGGATAAAGCAAGCTCAACTGTTAAAACTAAAGCCTGTTCCGGGACTTCCCCTTAATAAAGTTTCGTACATTACAGTAGGGTTTATACAGTTCACTGCCACTGCTATTTAAAAAAGTGTGATAAGAATGCTAAGTATTTATCGTAAACAACTATGTAATATGATGTATTAGAATTAAAAATAAATCATTGTTTGTTTAACATTACGTTCTTCCGGCCGGTTTCTATCATGGAAACCAAAACTTGATATATAGATAATAAGTCCACTGCTAAACATAGGCCTCCCCTAAGAAATGTCATGAAGTACGATCTTGATTGAGCTGTATCTATCGACTTCCTGCAGCTCTTACCAGGTCATCACTCCTCTAGTGGGGGTGGTCCTATACTTACTTCCCCATGGCTTGTCGTTTTTACGTATAAATACCTCAAATTTTGGAAAGAGTGTACAACCCGTGCGTGTTGTCAGTGATGACATATGGATCTTATATACGTCAACTTTCATTGTTGACTGTATGAGTAAGCTCCAGCTCGATCAGAGAGCTATAGAGGGCTAAGCTCGGAGTTTCTCTGACTTCGTGGTGAAGATATCTGCAGTGGAAGCACTGTGTTTGCGTGTACATTTGTGGTATCTCCTACCTAGTTATAAGAGTCCGAATGTACGGGAGTTGACGCAGTGGACGAAAATCAGTCACATTAACATTTATGCAATTGTATCGGAGGTAGTCTTGGATGCAGAGTATACGGGGATATTTGGAGTAAATGCAGATCCCAAAAGTATATTGTTTACAACATTAACTTTAGCCGCGATGTAAATTTGAGGCAAACGCATCAGCCTATGAACCATAGGGTCTTGGTCTATTACTCTTATTGTTTACGTCACTATTGTTTAACAACAGTTGGCTACTTATAATCGTTGATTATCGCATAATATTTTTAAATTAAGTATCTCTATACTTATATTTTTCTATTGTCATTTAGTAAAGAGAGAGAGAGAGAGAGAGCGCGCAACTAAAAGCATTTCTTAAATTGACGTCGTATAATAAGTAAGGCTAAGTATTCCCTGGCAATATTGAATGGCTCTTTATAAAAATATTGAATACATTCTTCTCGTTTAATTTTTTTTAAATCCATTGTTTTTCAAGAGTGTGTCAGCAGGTATGGATTTCTTGAAATCATTAGGTACTACAGTTGATATCAACATTGTGCAAGATATACATCTAATATATATTCTATAATATTTGCCGTGGTAACGATAAGAGGAAGTAATTAACGTTATCGTATAATATTTTTTAATAGTTTTCCACTTAAGGCAAGCAATGAGTCAAAGGCACTTAATGATGCGGATTATGTTAGCTTTATACTTGCTTTGTGGCATTCCTAAGGGGAGGCCTATGCTCATGATGATATAATAATGATGATAATGATACTTTCTTCAATATTTTTTTTATATAAAGCATTTTTCTAGAGATATTTGAGTTGTGTGTAAATATTTATGGAAATATCTAAGTTATTGTAAATGTATTCGGAGAAGTGTAAAATGATCATAAACTAAATAAACATGTTCATTTTTTTGTAGATTTAATGAGCATTTTCATTGTAATGCTTTGTTAAAATTAAGTCAGGTAATGACCCAAATAATCAAACTACACGTCTAAAATGGAGTTCAAGTGAATCACGATAGACACACACCATTCCATTGTTCGATCTTATTATAAAAGAGTTAGACACAACTATGACAATGGTCTCATTCTATGCTGCATAAAACGAAAAAACGTTGATTTTTATAATAAGTCAAGAATGCAAAGCTGTTTTTAAAAATACAAAATTTTGTAACTTTTTTTTTAATGTATAATCTATATAGATTATACATAAAGAAAGAATATTCTTTATCTATAGCATCTACAGGATACGTTCTTTAAAAATCGATTAGACAATGTTTGCTTGTAACATCATAAATTCATTTACTCCGACTTCAAAAAGGAGGAAGCACTCAATTCGACCGTATGTTTTTTTTTAATGTGTGTTACCTCATAACTTTTTTTTTGGGTGAACCGATTTTTTTTTATTTGAAAGCTTGTGCCCATATAAATTTGATGAAGGTCTGACCAATAGTTTTTGCGTAATTCTTAATAATTATATTGAAGTCGATTGTACAAGTTATTTAATTTTAAATTATTAAAACTTTAGTTACATTTTTATTCCTGTGGTCACATTCTCTCTTATATACTTCGGTAAAATACTAATGGATATTATGTCCTGAGAGTTGTCAATAAGTTACATATATACCCGGAAGAGGTCGCAATCGGCTAAGAGAACGTCATTGATACATGGATATTTATCAGTGTCGCATAACGGTACATATTAAGGAGAAAGTAAGCAGATGTGGGTTATCTTTTTCGCATTTCTAAAATGAAATATCACGAGTGTTAAGGGGGGCAGTGTTATAGGGCTCTTAATAATTTTTAAAATAATTTTAGAATACTTTTGTTCTACGCTTCGATATATAACACCTACCAACTTTTATTTCTCTATTTCTCCTAGGGTTGACTGGTGGAGAATTCCATAAGGCATTAAGTCCGCCCATTATAACCCTTAAATTAAGACTAGCTGTTCCCCGCGACTTCGCCCGCGTGTAATGTAGGGTTTTAATTTCGTTGCGCGGAACCCTAATTATCTTTGTAAAATATAAGTAGCCTAAGTTACTCCTTATGACATCAGCTATCTGCCAGTGAAAGTCCCGTCGAAATCGGTCGTTAAAAATCTATATTGTTCACGTTTTATTTAATTTTTAAAGTTCCATTTTCTTTTCATTTAAAATTAATCCCAAAAATTGTGTGAATTCTATGATAAATGGGCGTACGCAGAGTGCGGGCGACAGTGCACTGCATGCTCAAGGTTTATTTGGTCAGGGAAACGCCTTAACGTGGGAGAATCGAATCCTTTCTTCCATAACTGTTGAAACAACTCTATACAACACGAGGATTATGCACTTGATCGGAATGTAATGTTTTTTAAAATATTTACGCGAATACTCGAATAAAACTAGAACAGGTCGTTATTTTTAATAGGTTAATGGTAATATTAGTAATGTCAATATAATCACTAATATATTTCATTTAAAAGTGTGTAAGCACCTTTATACATGAAGTAATTCCACTAATTGTAACAGCCCTATGTAGCTATCAGACTATTTAACTCATCAATGAGTATTTGCTTTTGTTTGATTGTTCCCACAATGTAATTGATCTGTGTAAAGTAGGACGGGTCAAGATATTTATCTGGAGTGGATAGCAGCTCAGTTACTTTGTTTAACCTAAATCTATTAAAAGTTATGACACATTGCTTGAACTTCCGAACGTTTGGTTGCGACGCCGAGGAAGGCGGGTTCGAATCCCTCACGGAACAAGTGTTTGTATGGCCTATAAATAATTGTTCCGTGTCTGGATATGTGTTGTAGTTATATTTGTCAGGTTATACTCTTACATTGGCGTTTTGCGTGAAACTGCCAACTTCCTAACATTCGGACGCAACGTTGCCGTGGCCAGAATTAGCCAGAACCTAAATAACCTAAATACCTATCGGGTAAGTTAGGACGTGCTAGTGCCTGTATTTGTGGGTACAATTTGGCATTGTAATATATTCTTATTTATCGGCCATTCTTAATTGGTAAATTATTGTTCTGGGTCTGGATATTTGTCAATGTGATATTGGTAATAGTAATGTTTATTTAAAAAAAAATTACTGGCCACTACATACCACTTTCGTTGTGTTGTCTTAAAAATGAAACAAATTAAACCTTTCAAAAACTACAATGTTCTTTTTAAAAATAACAATATTCTATTTAAAGTAACAGCGTATAGTATCGGGGTAAAGTTTTTTTTAAAGACTAAATAAAAACGCCTAAAATTGCCTGATATAGGTCTTTTCAAGTATGCGCCAATTGGCATGCAATACTTGAAAGATTTGCCAATACTCAAGCGTTGCGGCGGTTGGTGAGCAGCGTTGCCAACATGTGGGGAATTCCCCAAAATGCGGGGAAAATGGTAGAAGTTCGAAAATCAATAGCCCGGGCTAAGTCAGAACCTTTTTCAAGACATCTAAATACTTATCTTAAAATTTTTGTTACGTTACTTATGAATATCGAATGACTCCCTTTCTTTAATTATCTTCATTCACATTTAATTTTTACATTTATTTCGGCAACTCTTGTGTATCATTTAATGCTTTTCAATTCTTTACTTTTTAATTTTAAAGCAGATACTGTGGTACTTTTTAATGGCAACAACGGAAGGAATTAAAAATACTCCATGGAGTAAAAATATTGTTATATTAACTTGTTATAAAAATATGGTGTGAAAAAAAATCGGTAAACAAAAATGTTAGTTAAAAAATAAATCTTATAAAATTAGTTGAAAATTGTTTAATTTCTTAAAATAAAATTCAGGGGAATTTGTGGGGAATCTGTTGAAGTTTTGTCCCTAAATTGGGGAATTTAACATGGATTTTCGGGGAATTTGACAAATTGGTGTTGGCAACGCTGTTGGTGAGTGCAGCCGTATCCTTGCAATGGTGCCTATCACTAGTCTGTGACATTTGGATACGGCATTTTGAATGGGTATATTTGAAAATGTCAGGCGGCAGTGCTTCGCTTGTTATTTAGCAAGGTGAGATTGACATTAGCAGAAGTTGATAAATGCCCCATTTCAATCCACTAACTACAATATACAAATATCCAGACTGACGACAGGCAGCAGCGTTAAAGGTGCGAGCGGGTGGAACTGTGATCGTCGATCTGCCTGCCGAGTATTACGATTAAAGAAAATTTTCCGTCCAGAGCCATGCCAGCCCATGAAGAAGATTAACTTATTATGTCTCTTGCACAATAAATAGCTTCCAACTATTTATAAGTTTTAGCCATGGTTGAAATTGACAGGAAGATTTTTTTATCTATATAGTGACAAGTGTAATGAGGCCAAATATTAGTAAACCTTATCTTGTTGTTTATATAAAGAGTTGTTTTTAGAACACGCAAGCTATCTGGTATGGAATGCGGGTGCTTCATTAACGCATAGACCTCTCAAAAAGGAATGATACAACACTGTCTGGCTATTTCAATTATAATTAACAGATTAATTACCATTTGAACATCCATTTAAGCTTAATCAAAGAGTATATGGTATAAGTTACTTATTTCATCTTAGTTTATGGTATTATGCTCTTTATTTACTCTGCCAACAGTAAAAATTGCAATACGGCAGACATATTCATTGAATGTACAAACAATACAAACATCTAACAGTTAGACATCCTGCAGTATGCACATAAATTATCATGTTAATCACATATTTGTTGGTTGCTGACAACTGTGGTCTGTGATATGTGAATGAGTGTTTCAGTAATGGTTATAAGCAAATTTAATCTTTAATAGGCTAACATTAAAGTATCTGGTCATTTACACATTGAAATATAAGTTAATAAAAATATTTTTTAAATGCAAAACAGATTGTATAGTATATTTTATTTAAAAGTTAAAACAAACAATAATTGTTACATATATTAATATAATATTAAATGTTAATATATGTATGGAAATAATTTATATCAATGTATCTAGGTAGCTACTTCATAGTCACATATTATGAAGAACTATTTAGCATTTTAAGAAAAAATATTGATATTTACCTATAGAATAGAATGTATGATACAGAATGTATATTACACTTAAATATTTTAAATTAATAACCTATTCAAGTGTTAAATTCAAAAGTTAAAATTACATAGTCTTTATATTTAAAAGTCACTTACCTTGAGATCCAATATTTTTCTCTCGCATGGCTCCATTGAAATGTACAACCAAAGGTTCTAGAAAATATATTTATAAAGTTAATTTATAAACTACAAAAATTAGTTAATAATATATACAGTTGTGTAAATATTTACCTTTTTGAAAGGCTGATATTTCATAGACTGGGGATTTATCTTGCTTGGAATTCTTTTTACTGGAATCAACAAGTAACATGTCTTCCCCTAGGTCTTCCACATAATATCGCCTGGCATTTGAGGATATGTCTTCTTTGGCAAAGTTGAAGCGGGGCTCACGGACCTCTACACCTCTTACTTGGGGTCTTAACTGTGACACAAGTGGACTCTGTATAGGTTTATCCTGTTCAACAACACCATCTTTGAAATTCTGAATTAAAATTTGTTCCTTTACTACTTCTATTTGTTTCCTCATCGATATCATTTCATTCCAATAGTAGAATGCCACGGAGCAACTTATTATCATACAAATAATGCTAAGCAAGAAGTTCAATATGAACAAGAGCTTAATTTTCTTGGAAGACGCTATAGAGAGTGTCGTGTTTATATGCACGCCAACATCCGTTGGTTTCTCTAAAAGTGATAAAAAAATTAATAGTAATAAATAATCGGTTACAGTATAATTATTTAAAAAAATCTTTATAGTCACCTGTATTCAAGTGTATGACAGTTCCGTCATTAACTTTTCTACTTTTAGTTGTATTCAAAAAAATATTTGCCGCACCTGGTGAATTAAGGGGGACTCCTTCGCATAAGTTTATTTTTCTTTCTGCGTCCATTATAAATATTGTTGTAGTAGTACTCCGTACTACTGTATACGCAAAATTGTAGCGTAGGCGTCGCCGTTCCTAAACAAAGGAAGTAAAGCTTATTAAAAGTTCGCACGGAACACACGATAACCGCGGGTTGATAACAAAAAAACACAGCACTATTTACGTACCGAAAATAATTCGGCGGCACTATAAATTCACTCTTAAACTAAATATTATCAACTATTTAAGTCTACATTTACAATCTTCTGTCTACTTAGTGCCCTAAAAACTTGTTCGTCTGTCGCACCAAAACAAACAAAAAAGTAAATAACCCAAGCAAAACTTTCGATTCGTGCGTTCGTCTGTCGGGTGACGGCTGGCATTGGCGCGCTCGTGCGGCTTGACTGCTACAACCGCTACTGTCGATGCTCGATGTCGCCGCGCCAAATTCAAACTGCGATGCGAGGAAACGATTGACTGGGGAGAACGAAATAACGCTTTTTACGTCATTGAATGCTCCGCAGTGTACACTAAGTACCTTTTACTCATGAATGTAACGTGTTACGTTTTAAATCGCCCTTTTATTGGCTTTATTACAGAGAAAATGCAAAGTTTAGCAAATTATTGTTTGTTGACAAATTAAGCCGTTCAATTGTCTACGACATTCGCATGAATTTATTGCTTATTGATGATTAATTATATCATTAAATGATCATTAAAACAAAAACTAGTTACCTAAGCTATAGATTAAAATAGTGCTTTTGTGAAATAGACCAAAATATTTAATATCATGAAAAGGCCAGGTCAAGAGTACCCTAAACCGTAGAGCATGTATGAAGGGAATAATGAAAGTGGACGAAGCAAAACAAGTATGTAAGGATCGTAGCAAGTGGAAAGAACTGGTCTCTGCCTACCCCTACGGGAAAGAGGCGTGATTATATGTATGTATGTATGTATGAATTTATTAATTGCTGTGTGCTTGCGACGTAAAAGAACATTTTTTCTTCTTCCAGTGGGATGAAGCAAGACGTGACTATAGGAACGGCCAGAATTGTAAAATAAAATACTAGTAATGCTATTAAACATTACTAATATTCCCTTTAACCACTTCTGGTAAGCTTAAAATTCTTGTGTTAGAAGTGGTTCACGACCAGTAGTCGAATGGCGGATTCAAACCTACGACTTTTCGAGTTCGCGGTCCGCGCCCTGCCATTAGGCTACTGACGAATGTTCCCATGGCCTCCCGAAAATGATAATTTAAGTGCGTCAATCCGCCCGCCAAGCATAGCGATTACGATGGGGTATGTTCATATTCAACGGTAGACTGTTACTGGCTGATTGAGAAAAAAGAAAGATACGGCAACTTACTTTTCTACAGGTACATAGGTACCTACAATTACACTTCTATTCAGAAATTAAATATATACGGATGAACAAAGCTTAATTCTTGGAACAGTTTTTCTTTGTGAACATCTTGTAATCTTTTACCTGTGTAATATTGGCGTTCCTATGAACCATATTGTGCTCAGGTAGTTGCGTTCGGGAGAACGGAATTCGGTAGTAATGTGTAATAAGAAACTTACTACTTAGCGAGCGTCTCAAGTGATTCTAAATATTCGTTCGCGAATTGCTGTGGGTATTTAACGAATCCAAAAACAGATGCAAGGGTATGAACATATTACTATTACAAGCCAGCTGCTTCATTCCTTAGGTTATTAAGGGTTATTTCTACGCTGCTTGCTTATTAGTTTGTACTTCAATTAAAATTACAGACTATCTTTGTTTTATTTTTGCATATTTATAATCCATTTTTTTTCCAATTTATAAGCAAAATTATACTAGTGATTATAATTACTTACTTATTACGAACACCCAATTCTAAAGAAAATATGAGTGCATAAATATGTATAATATGCAGGCATCACGTATACGCCAATACCTAGTTGCAAAGCTGCGCAGCTGTGCAACTAGGTGCAGCTGTGCAGAAGACCCAATCTCAAAAATTTATGCTAGTAGGTATAATATATATAGCAGCCTTAAATATAGATATTTGTTAAGCAAGTCAGAAGAAAAAGCACTCCCGAAATGATTTATCCGCGTACGCTGGTGTTATCGTTAGGGATACGTAAATACAATGTTATAGAAAAATATAGATCATTACTCCGTCTAAAAATAAGTCCGCGATACCATATATCTATTTCTTATACATAAGCCATAATTTGGTATTTTGTGACAAAAAAATATTAAAAATTTAAAAGTGATTTATGAGCGTTATTATTAGGCATGGCCTATTTATCCTTACGAACGACAGTTACTTCATCATCAAGACAATTTTATGAAGATAAACTTTGTTCATTATACCATGTTATTTGGACGCGTATTTTAAGAGATAATGTAAAATTAAAATAATTCAATACTTGGCTGGGCGCGCGAACGACGAATAAACCCTAGTCGTTAAATAATAAAATGCTTGAACTAGGTCATGTTGCGCACCTCGGACACGTGATGACGCGGGTGAAACCGCGGGGTACAGCTAGTGAAGAGATATATGGGAACGCCTTAGTTCAGCTTTTGATGGGCCGCAGCGGTAACGATAGCTATTGTAGATTTGGGAGAAAACAATTCAGGCTACATTGGACATTTTAAAATTTAAAAGTGGTTTATGAATGAAACCTCATGTTAATTACTAACCGACTTCAAAAAAGGAGGAGGTTCTGAACTCGACTGTATTTTTTGTGTGTGTAATCTCAGAACTTTTTCCAGGAGAACCGATTTTGATGATTATTTTTTTTATTTGAAAGCTGGTGCTTCTTATGGCGTCCCATATAAATGATCAAGATCTGACCAGTAGTTTTTGAGTTATCCTTAATAATACGTATTTAATTGACTTCGACTACATTGATGGTGTTCTCATTTTATTTATGTTGAAGTCGGTTCTACAAAATTTTTAATTTTATTTGTTGTTTGATACTTTTGCCTAATGATAGTCCGTTTGATATGAAAAATTATACTAAATCTTTTTTTAATTCGAACAAATAAAATTCTGTGATTGTTGAAAATAACACTTTTTTTTAAAGTTTGATAGACGATAGAAATTTACAAGCTCTTTAAGCTTATCAATAAAAAAATGTTTAAGCTCCAAAATTATAAAGTTTACTTAATATTTTTTTTTGTAATATTGATATTGCTTCACCTTAAGTTCCAGTAAGCAAATATAGAATGGAGAATTCTATTCGCAAACGCGTGCCAAATGTGGAATGCATTCAGATCCAGATGCAAGTTGAAAATTGTGAAGGAAGAGTAGTTACCAAGCTATTATTAATAGTAATCTATGCAAACTATGTTAAGATTAGATACAATTACTAGAAGTAAACTTTGTAATAATAAAGTCTGTGATCGCTTTCTCGCGTTGAAATATTTTAAAGTCAGTATTAAATATTTTAAGTATTGTAAAGTATAATTGTTTTTCGATTCCCTATCTTTTCACAAAAAAAAAACTTTTTCATGTTAAGTGGTTAAAACGGAGTCTTTACCATGAATGAATGTACATAATCATTAAAAATTCGTGTTTCTTAAAAACTAAATGACATTACACCATAGTCTATTTATTAATAAGTAATAAGTATAATATTATAAATAGTAATAGTTTATTTACTCGTATGTGTCGATGTTGTTGTATGACTCTTTATTTTTTCCGACTTTAAAAAAGGTTATGTATTTGATTGCATTTTTTAATGTATTCAGGTGAGGTAATAAAGTGATTAGGCAATAAACTGGTTGCCTATAAATTTGAAGTAGATAAGATGATGAGAAAATTAATCGATTAGCTAACTCGATTGTTTTCTTAAAAAAATCCATTAAATAATTAACAAGACATAGACACTAAACGTAAATGAAACCAAGAAACGTTATACATATACCTATATATGTCCTTACTTAATATTTAATGAGGTATCTTTATATATTATGTCAACATTTTTAATATCAAATAAATAACTTGTGCCTTTAAAAAAATGTGCTTTAAAAAAGTCCCGTTGGGTTTCTTCCCAGGACAGAGTTTTTTTTTGCGAACCAGAGGCAAAAGTAAAAAAAAATGACATTCAATATGTATAATGTATTATAAAATTATTATATACTATTCTATTGTAACATAAATCAAAAAGGGTAATTTTTAGATAACATTGCATTTTATGCATAAAAAAGTAATGATAAATTGGTAGGCACAATATGCATATAAAGCTCCCATTGTTTAACGTCAGTTTATTTTTATAATTAAATCACACATTAATCAGTATCAAAAACAATAACTGACGTTAAACGCAAAATGCAATTATTTTTAGTTGTCAATACTTTAAATAGATTTTGAAAAGCACTCTTGAAGCATATTTGAATAACTGGGCGATCTCCAGATAATCTGGTCCTGGTTGAATATTTTCAGCGCCGAACACTATATTTTCAGCCCGCCTGGTGTTTATTCCAGCTGCCACACCAACTCTCCAGTCTTGTTTAAATTAGAACGTTAATTAAAAAAATGACTTGTTATACTTTTGAAGATTGCCTACGTTAATAATTGAAATATTGTGTACCATAGAGTAGTACTATAATATATTATTACTCTAAGGTAAATAAGTATTATAAAATGAATGTAGTGTCGGCGTTAAGAATATTATTCCGTGGGACCGTGGGCGTGTGTGTCGTAAGAGGCGACAGAGAGAAACAACTCAGGAGATGGGCAGCAGCGTCTTCCTAATAACGATAACGACTAAAAATAAAAATAAAAAACGTGGTTGTTAACCCGCTTGTGAAGCGTGGCAACTATGGCAAATGTCCCCTCTATGAGGTCATTTAACGAGGAGGCCTATGTTCAGCAGTGGACTTTAATAGGCTGTATGGCACATTATACTTAAAGGGCGTTAATAGTCATTGATGTCCATAAACAACGTTATGGGAATATTATAAGAATAAAATAAGTAGTTAAATATTATAATGAACAATATCTTCATCAGCCTGTAAATGTCCCGAGATGG